GGATGGAAGTGATTTACCTACTTCGATAAACTCAGATGTTGTGAAGAAATATTTTGCTTGAAAAAAAAAAGTAAAAAAGTAAAAAATAAAAAATAATGACTCATCTAAGCTGAAAACTTGAAAAAAGGTGGCTTGGATGTGAAAAAGAAGCATCATTCCACACTACAGGGGTAAGTGTATTTTGATGAACTTTGAAGCCTCAAGAAAGTCATCTAATTTAGTTTTAGAAAAAGAATCTAGGAATATTTTGTTCATGATTATCTTATGATCATCATTTGAGCACCTTTGTTTCAACTCAAATACTTTACAATGCACTTGTGACCAATATGCTATCTTTCCTTTGGAAATAACACCTATCCATTCCTTTATTCTCATTTTTGTCCTCCACATGAATAGGAGAAATGTGTGATTGCATTTTATTGGTCTTGGATTTAAAATGATGAAAAGAAAAACAAACATGAAAGATCTTAGCATTACTTTTTAAAAAAAGTTGACAAAGGCAAATGAAAAAAGATGAGAAAAGCATGACAAGACATTGATGTTGCAGACTTTTAAAGAAGAAAAATATTATGGTCAGATGTTAAAAATAGATTGGTCATATAAGAATTCTGATAAAAAAAAGTCAAAAGCGAGAGATTTTGAGAACCTTTTTACTACAATGAATAATTTTGATTGCATTACATGCATTGCATTTAGAGCACTCAGTGTATGTATCCATGAGCAGTTTTAATAAGGACAGAGACTTTCCATTTCTTGATCAAACAAAAGATTACAAAAGAGAAAAATTTACTTGTTAAAAGAAAAGAACTCAGTTTTGAGAAAAGATGAGATTTTAAAGTTGTTGAGCCTCTGCTGAGAGGAACCCTTTCTAAGATGAGATTTTAAAGTTATTAAGCCTTTACTGAGATGAGCTTTTTTAAGATTTTAAAGTTGTTGAGCCTCTGCTGAGAGGAGCCCTTTCCAAGATGAGATTTTAAAGTTATTGAGCCTCTGCTGATATGAGCTTTTTCAAGATTTTAAAATTGTTGAGCCTCTGCTGAGATGAGCTTTTTTCAAGATGAGATTTTTAAAGTTGTTGAGCCTTTGTTGAAAGGAATTTTTTTCAAGATGAAAATTTTTAAAAATTGTTAAGCCTCTGCTAAGATGAGCTTTTTTGAAGATAAGATTTTTAAAGTTGTTGAGCCTCTGCTGAGAGAAGCTTTTTTCAAGATGAAAATTTTTAAAAATTGTTAAGCCTCTGTGAGAGGAGCTTTTTTCAAGATAAAAATTTTAAAGTTATTGAGCATCTGCTGAGATAAGTCTTTTTTAGATTTTAAATTTTCAAAAGTTATCGAGCCTCAAGTGAGATGAGCATTTTCGATTAAAAAAAAAACTTTTTGAGTGGTCTCTGTTCAAAAAAAAAAATCCATTTGGATTTCGGACAAATTTGTTGTCTTTGTCTTTGTCCTATTACTGATTATCAACAATGTACAAAGAGGGCCAGCTGTGGACATCAAATTTATCCAAAAAAAAAACAAAATACCAAAAAATATAAAATATGAAATATATACCAAAAATAATACAAAATACCAAAAAATATACAAAAAAATAGAACAAAAAAGAATTGAGGGTGGGAGTGGTGCCTTCCCAGGCACCATTGCCACTAAGCCCTACACCCCACCCTTCTGACCACCATGCCCTACCCTCCACCCCTCTGACCACCATGCCCTACCACCCATTTTCTACCACTGTCAGATGTTGCCAAAAATAAATAAAAGAGGCATGGGGCTCGTGCTTGCACCCCCATTCCTAGCCCTGTGCCATTCCCTTAGGCACAGGACAATGCAAGAGCTCTACAAATAGAGCTCATGGTCGGACAACAAAGAAACACAGACAAAGGAAGAGAGACGCTGCAAAAAGAACAAAAAAATTTGTAAAGAAAAAAACAAAAAAATATATATACAGTCCTCCCCGTAGAGAGGAACCCAGTGCCTAAAGCTTCCTGTACAAAGAAAAAAAAAGGGTCAATTTTAAAAAAAAAGGGTCAATTTTAAAAAAAAAGAGTCAGAATACAAAAAAAAAGATAGTTTAACCGAAACTTCAAGTTCGGATTTGGGAAATTTGACTCTTTTTGACAAAAAAAGGGGTTGGATGTATGTTTAGGGTATTGAGTAGAACATTTTAGGTGATATTAGTTTTTTTTCAATCATCGATGACGGCGACGATGGCGACGGTGATGGCGACCGGCAGACACCTGCTTTTGGTTGAAGAAAAAAAAAGAAGAAAGGTTTTTTTTTTTTGGAGAAGGAAGGAGAATGGTTGAAAAAAAAATTTGAACCTTTTATATAAACGGTGAAAACTAAAATGACGTCGTTTCAATAAACGCCCAAAACGATATCGTTTTAAGCACCCAGGATCCGCGCATCAATCAACGACCTGACCCGGGGTTCAAGCACTCGACCCGTTACCTGCTTCTCCATCAGCCTCTGACCGGTCTGACTGAACAAAAACTGAACCGCTGAACCCGAACCAAACCGGTACCAAACCGCTGAGCCACCCAGATCGTGCTCAGATCGAGCCGAACAACCAAACCGAACCGCTGGTTGATCGAACCGTTGACCGGTCCGGTTCAGATAAAATTTTTTTTTTTAATTTTTATGTATTATTTTATTAATATTTATGCATATTAAAATATTTATATTTGTTAGATTAAATGATGAAATATGTGGTTAATTTTTTTTATAATTTTGTTAATTTTTTAAAATAAACTTTAAAAACAAAATAATATAAAAATAAGCTTAATAATAATACTAAACTAATAAAAAATGTAAGAAAAGAAAAATTTTTATCCGACGATGAGATTCAAAGGTATTCCGAGTAGAGATGCTTTAAGAAATCCCTAGGTGAGAAGATTTTTTATAAAATATTACCAGTGTATTGGAATATTTATAGAAAATCTTCAATATAATTAAATTCTTTTTTCTTCAAAATTTTAGTTAAAAAAAATTAATAAAATTTTTAAAAAAGGAGAATAAAACATGTGCATAAACATGGTAACATTTTACATTGCATGCATGACATTTTTTTACAAAAAGTAAATTTGAGCCTCCGAAGATGAGATTCTAAGGTATTCCGAGAAGCGATGCTTAAGAAATCTCTATGTGAGAAAAAGTTTTTCTAATGTTACCAACGTACTGAAACATTTTAAGAATTATTTCAATAAAAAGGTTTTAATTTTTTTCTCTAATAAATAAAAATCAAGAAAATTATTTTTTCAAAGACCAAAAATTAGACTATTTTTATCAAAATCAAAGGATAATATGTTGTTAATTGGTACCGTTTTTAACGGGCGCTGTGGGGGTGCTAATCCTTCCTCACGCGTAACCGACTCTCGAACCCAGACTGTTTCGCAGACTGTAAAATTATTTTTTCAATAAATTTTAATTAATTTTAAAACTTTATTAAAAGGATATGTTTTAGTAGGTGGCCAATTGCACCTAACCAAAAAAAAATTGGTGATGACTCCATTAATTTTTATTTCGTTTTCAAATTCATCGGGCGGACACAAAACCGTTACGACAATCAGTGAACTTCAGTTTACAAATTGTTCCTTCTTTAGTCACGTAATCATTGCAGGCTTCTTTGTGAACAATAAGTTGAAGTAAAAGGTTGAAGTTTGACGATGGATTTTTTTTTCTCTATCTTATAAGGAAAGGAGAAAAAGGAATAGATAGAAAATAAAAGAGACACTGTGTGGAACATAACACAGACTATACTAAATAATCTTGACACCTTCATTTAGATGCCTCCAAATTCTTGTTTGCTTTCCTAACAAAACCATTAAAGAACTCTGCGAAGTACGAGAAAACATCCATGTCTAAGAATTGCTATATTTCTACTCATTATGTGAGCAATTTAAAATAGAATGGTGGAGCTGCAACAATTCTTATGTAATGGAGGTTCACAATGAAGGTTTTATTTGGCTAAGGGCAATGGTTAGTAACATGCACAACACAAATTAGTGACAGATTTACAAATGTCATGCTCAATTCTGCCATTTGTATTGTTGAGTAGCGAATTCATATTCTCATAGAAATGGTCTGAGCTTGCGAATTGCAAAAAGATTAATTGGCCAAGAAACATATTTTTGTAGAATGTCATGGCCTTGACTTTGTTATGAAGACAATTAAACAGTTATAATATCTAACACTGACATGAACCCCGAACGTGCTACTTGATCAATAAATGTGTAAAATTTTCAGAATGACAATCAATTGTGGCAATGCTCTCATGTACTATTTACGTTGAACCCTTAATTGATATTCTTTAAAATGGGTGCTATCACTATATTCATAGATTTTTTCTGTTGCATCTTGAAAAGCACTTGGCAAGACGATCTAAAACAACGAATAATTTGCTGTGATTAGTGAAAGCTATAGTGTCAACTTCACAACCCAATTTCGTTGCATTGTTCAGCAAAATTCAATAAAATTTCCATATAGATAGAAATCAAGAAGCTCTTCATTTAAATTCTGAACATGACACTGGTAAAAAAAAAAGCTGAATTTTTTAGTGAAAATGAATATTGATTGACTACATATACCCGAAAAGAAATTGTCTAGGGAGATTGTCTACCACAAAGTAGTAGCAGGAATTAACGGCCATTTCTACGTGGTAGAACCATGCTTGCCTCCAATAAGGATTTATGTACAGTACAACTGCGATAGACAGTAGCACTATTAGGTAAGATACGATGAAACTAACATAAAAGACACCCATGTCAATTGAACCATCCTCTACTCTATTGCCATTTGAAGCCTTTGGTGTCAATGGTGGTTCGATTGGTGAGCAGTTCTTTTGCACTAGTGTTCCACAAAGAAAAGGATTTCCCAGATAGCTGCTTTCATCAAATGCTCCCAATTGCCCAACTCTTTCAGGCGTCTTTCCAGATAAGTTGTTGTATGACACGTTGAAATATGACAAGAAATGTAACACCGCAAATTCAGGAGGGATGTTCCCACTCAATTGTTGTAAGAAAGATCCAAACTTTCTATTCGCATGAGGTTAGCAAATGTTGGTGGGATTGGTCCTGTCAAACTATTGTGAGATAAACTCAACACAAGTATATTGCGGAAGTTTCCAATTTCATCAGGAATCTCACCAACCAGATTGTTGAAAGACAGATCGATCCCAGACATGTATGGTAGAATTTTCCCCTTGTAAGAGTAGGATATATTCTTTGTTGTGAATTCAATTGCTTCATCGAAGGAGAATGCTGGGTTGGGACCAACAGCAGTAAGAAACGAACGTAATCTTCTGGTACATCTTCGAGTGTGGTAATTTTTATGCAAGGGGGAATACGACCAGAAAGATTGTTGTGAGAAAGATTGATCAAGCTTAAGTGACTCAAGTTGCACAACTCAATTGGTATCCGCCCCTCAAATTTGTTGTTATTTAAGAGAAGATAACTCAAATTTGAAAGTCTGCCAACCCAACTTGGAATGTTACCAGTTAAGAAGTTATCGCTGACATCCAACGTAACCAAGGTAGAGCAGTTACCAAGTGAATCTGGTAAGGATCCTCGTAACCTATTTTTGGACAAATGAACTTGCCTTATCTGTGATGGGCTGAAACAAGATGGTAGACTCCCAGAGATATTATTAACTGAGAGGTCTAGAAGTATAAGATCAAGTTGACAGAACTCCATAGGGATTGTGCCTTCAAGATGATTATTGGACATGATAATTGTCTCCAAAGAAGACATATTTCCCATCCACCTTGGGATCCGACCAGAAAGTTGGTTGTTGCTGACATCCAATGTATTCAAATAGGTCTTGTTAGACAAGAAATCTGGGATCCTTCCTGAGAAGTTATTTCCATCCAATTGCAACTCCATCAAGTTTGTTAAACTAAAATTTACAGAGAAAAGTTTGCCTTGCAGTGTGTTGTTTGATAATGCAAGGTATGCTAACGAGGAGCAACCCATGGCCATGTGCTGAGGTATCCCCCCAGACAACAGATTGTTGGATAAGTCCAAAGAGCACAGCGAACTCATATCACCGAAAGAAGAGGGAATGCTACCGTTAAAATGATTTTTTGACATGTTCAGAAAATTCAACGATGGTAGTTGCGCTCCAATTTCTATTGGAATGCTGCCATTGAAGAAATTGTTGGAGATATCTAAAGATGATAAACCCAAATGTGAAGGAAGCGGTAGCTGAATAGGTCCCGATAGAGAGCTATTGGCGAGAAATAGCCTAGCTAGTTTTGTGTTGTTTTTCAACAACCAATTTGGGAACTGATCTCCCTTGAAATAGATGTTAGAGAGATCAACAGTCTGTAAGTCCTTTTGATGATAGAGGAATTGAGGAAATGATCCGCCATTTCCACAACAAGCCATTGTGATCTCTTTCAGTTGGAATGTCGGGGCCAAAGAATGCATCTCGGTTTCAGCATATATGGTATTGTTGTCCGCATAGAGGTACTTGAGCTTTGAAAGGTTGAAGAAGGGTCCTAATGAGCTTGGGATCTGAAAGTAATTGTTTGAAACACTCAACACTTGAAGGGATGTTAGACTATCAAGGGCAGATATACTTCCAGAAAACTGATTGGATGATAGATCTAAACTTTTCAGGGTTGTTAGACTCTTAAGGACAGATATATTTCCAAAAAACTGATTGGAACGGAGATCTAATCTTTCAAGGGATGTGAGATTGGAGAAGCATTCGGGCAAATAATCCTTTAGATTATTGTCGTTGATGTCCAACTCTTGGAGATTTGTCATTTCACAAAATCCTGCAAAGGTAGTATTATATATTAAATAAATAAAAGGGTGTCATGCATTGGAAAAAAAAAATACGGACAAACAACTACTCTATTCGCATATTGTCACTTAGTGACTTCCAACAAAATTTAGAGAGATCAAGAGGCAAGGGGATAATATATATAGGAAAGTTGTGTGGTAGTTAAGTTGTTTGGTGTTTGTTTAGTACTTGTAGGTTTTATTACTTTTTAAGTAATTATGATGAAGGGTAATATAAGAAAAATATTTGCAGTATAAAATTTTGTTTGGGAGAATTTTCAAATGCAAAAATGACAATAACAGCATAGGATGGATGGACTTAAAATAAAGGTGAGATAACTTTGAAACAAACAGAAAACAGAAAGCAAGAGACTATATATATAAATCTCAACCTTGGGTAAGTAAGGTGCCATTGTGTTCACAAGACTGTAAATATAGAAACTTAAGAGAAGGCATTGCTCCAATTTTTTGAAGAAAATTGTTTTCCAGGGAAGTGTCGGATATGCCCAAGAATTCCAAATTCTTCAAATGAAGTGGACCTGTTTCAAAAAATAATCAATAATAAAAAAATAGAGAAACGTATGAAGATATATGTCAAGTGAAAAACGATGATAATAGCATAATATGTATGCAATTAATTATATACATATATGAAACAAATAAAATTAATGTTTTAGTATGAGAGGAAACTGAAAGATCCAAATTACCTTGAGGAGGAGTTAGGCTTCCAATATTATTGATCTCACAACCATACAATTGCAAAAGCTTTAGGGAAGTAAGTTCTCCAAAGTTTCGAAGAAAGTTGGTTTGGAGAAAAGAATCTCCCAAGATCAACTCTTCCAAGTTTCTAAAATTATGCAATTCTATTCAACAAAAACATTAATGAATCTCTTTTAAAAAAAATTAATGAATCTATATAAATGTGAAGGCAGGAAAGACCAAATTGCTAAAAGAAACAATATATTATAGGAGCAAAGCATAAGCTGCACATACTTTGGGTAGTCATCGTTCCGTTAAAACTAAATCCTGCCAAGATTAGAGTCTTCAACGACGGCAGAAATACGCCCGGTGATTTTGGTGAAAGGCTACAAGCCGTGTTTCTTAAACCTGTAAATAAAACAATGCAATAAACACAAATACTCAAAGCGGTACTTTTTTTTATACTTGAACCGTCAAAAATCCAATTTTGAAAAAAAAAAATTGGGCACTTTTCGAATAGATCACACTTTTATATTGTTTTATTATTGGAATTAGAATTTCAGTATTCCACTAATAAATCACACTTATATTTTTGAAATTTAACTTAAGAAATAAAACATTTAAAACTTCATACCCACATATACTGTATATGTAAAATACATATATAAAAAGGATATATTTCTCCACCTTTATGAAGTAAAAATTAAACTCGAAAACTCGTATATGCACATTTTCAGTAAAAAATTGACAAAGTTAAATCAAGGCTTGAAGAAAATGCAATTGTCTAATCTCATATATAGAACATAAAAGTAGCAAGAAAAAGGGCATAAACCTTGTATTTGTATAGATCTAGTATTTTTATTTTTGAACACCTAAAACTCCATTAACAATAAAAGATAGCTCCGTACAATGTCTTTCAACTGAGATATAATGAATATTAATGAATCATTGAAATATATAAGAGATTGCCTATATTGAAGAAAGGGCAAATTTTTCCATCAGTTTGAATTTTCATTTTTTAATGTGTTTAGAAATATATTAACATGAACAAATTGATTAAAACACAATTTTGTTTTAGCAATACTACATACCTTCGGTGGATCTGCAGTTTATAGACAGTTCCTTCAAGTTACTCAAAGCATTTAAAACTGAGGAAAATCACAAATTAAAATATAATTAAATTAAAATAAAATAAAATATTCTGGGCATTAAACTTTAAAAACATATTGCTATATCTATAATAAGAAATAATTCTGTAACTTTAAAGAGATGGGGGTTAATTTTACCTGTAAGATCTATTGATCCTTCCAAATTGTTGTCTTCTAAAAGCAAAGACTTTAGATTTGAAAGCCTACCAAGGGATGATAATATGCTATTGTTGAAGAGATTCCCACTCAAGTCAAGTACTTCCAGGTTTATTAACCTTAGTTCTGTTTCATTGTCTGTAAAAGATTTACATAAATAACTATTATTTTTTATTTTCATTGTCCAAAATAAATTTTCTTAATTCTAACATCACAAAGATTTTGGATTTGCTTAAAAGAAATTATCTACTCAAGATAGATTAGTTCATGAACACGTAAATTATATTTTGGTTTAATCTTTTTCTATTTTTAGCCAATGTTTTCTGAATCAAATTACAAGTTTAACCGATAATAGCTTCGAATTTAGTCTACCGGTTCAATTGGAAGGGAATGTTAGTATCAAATGCATGATTTTGATATTAAATGAGTAGTAAATATATTTATATTTATCCTTAATATAAATATGCATTTGGCTTAATAATAAAAAAAAAGTAAGAGGTTAAAGATTTAAATTTTGTCAATTGCAAATATTTTTTAAAAATTAGTATTGAAATTGACTTAATTAACAGTTTGAACCGCTTTAACTGATTTGGCAAAATGTTCAATCGATTTTTGTCCCATTCAATAAGTTTTCAGTTTATTTGTTTTTATTGAACAAGCCACTATTTCTCGATTGAATTCATCCAATTGGCCAATTCAACTTTCAATAACTACTTTTAGTATTAATTTTTGCATGTGTTGCGACTTTGATAAAGTAGTATGGTGATTTATTCCACTTGGCTACCAATTTCCAGTCGCACAACAGTTAGGTGTTAGGGAAAAGACTAAAATTGATACAAATACTCAAGATCCTTCGCCAAAGAAGTCTTAATAAAAATGATATAAATTAGATATGTTGAATTTATCTAATTATATTTTGATTTTTTAATTTAATTACTTAATGATTTTTTATATATTAATATAATACTTAATTGTGATATTGTAAATTTTCTTGTATCTGTAATTGTATTAAAAAAAGACATTTTTAGTTTTTTTTATCCACATAATTAGAAATTAGTGTAAAAATAATAAAAACAAAAAAACAAAATCTATTAATGGTGTCTATAGACAGACACGGTTTAAAAATAGTTAAAATACTATTTAAAAATTTATATATAATGCACTATTTTTACTAAATTTAAAGAAAAAATAATGCATTAATTTCATTTTTCTTTCTATATATCATTTTAACTAGTGTCTTAACATTTAAAAAAAAAAAAAAAACTGTCTTAAGTACCTTTGGATGTAATAAAGTCGTTCACTTCGTTATCCCCCATGTACAGCTCCTCTAAATTGCTCAAAGCATTTAATTCTGAAGAGAGAATTAAAATAATAGTAACAAATCATATAATTAAACTTAAAATTATATTTTGTGAAACATAGTTACCTTTAATATATATTGGCCCTTTCAATCCGTTACTTTCTATAAACAAATATTTCAAATTTGAGAACGCAATAAGGGATGTAAATATGCTGTTGTTGAAGAGATTATAACTTAGACTAAGCACTTCAAGCTTGATCAACCTCAATTGTTTTTTCTGTGCAAGAGTAACGTAAGACTTCAAATCTGTATATATTTGATGAAGAAATATATGTGAACTTACATTTTGAAATAGAGATCCGAAGCTCTGAATCTCATTTTCGTCTAAATACAACTCCTTTAAATTGATCAAATTATTAAATTCTGTTCAAATCCAATAAAATATATCAGTCCAAAAGCACCTAATTATAAGCTTTCTCAAATTAAGCGTGAGATTTTGAAGAGAAATTGAAACAAATCTACCTAGCATATCAACGGTTCCTTTTAGTCCACAATTCTGCAAACTTAAAGATTTTAAAGATGTAAAATTGTCTAGATATGATAGGATGTGGTTTCTTAATTTGTTATAATCTAAATTCAGAATCTCCAAATTGTTCAGCTTTGATAATCTCCTAATACCTGCTCCCAATAATATTAAAAAATAAATTTAGTATTCTCAGTACAAATATATCAGTTGCAAAATTTATTCACTCAAACCTGATTCATATATAACAAAATTACAGGGAATAACATGATATATATTAACTTTACCATAGGTCGGATTTGATCCTGTGAATCTGTTGCCTGCTAGATTTAAAGACTTGAGTGATGAAAGTTCACTTAAGGATGATAAAATGCTATCATTAAAATGATTAGAACTTAAGTCAAGGATCTCCAGTTTGCTCAATTTCGATGACAACCTATCAAAACCTACAAAAAAATGTTTTTTTAATATAGGCGCAGTTAGTGGCTTTCCAAAAGAAATATATAGAAAATGCAAAAAATGAATTGACGTTGCAGTTTGTAATTAGGTGAAAGCAAAACGAACCTTCGTTATAAACACAACCAGCGATGGAATTTCCACGTAAATAAAGACTGTTTAATTCCTCAAAAGGAAGAAACAAAGAGGCGTTTAGATACCAATCATCGCTCCAAGTATCATCGTAATAAACATAAGATAAATCATCCCAGGCTTCTTTTGTGAATGTATGATTAAGGAAAAGTCGCATCACTCGTCCAGTGGAAGTGTTGCACTCAACCCTGTCCCATTCACAACAATTAGAACTCTGTGTTTCCACCCCCCAAATTTACCAAAGAAAGGGTTAAGTTGCAAGAGAGCAGTTTTTTCTTGCTCCCAGCACCCATCACACCACCCTCCTAACAAGAACGCTACCAGAACAACCATCCACAACCGTTTCGACTCCATCCCAATTAATCCACACGCTCTGATCAGATCACTTAATATAACTCTGCCTCTATGCATTTGGCAGCGCTGCACCCTTGGGCTTTATCTACTACTAGTAATACTACAAGAAAAGGAAGCAACCGTCGTGTTTCCATGAAATTCAATTAATAATTAAGGCCCCACACACTCAGGGTTAGATCATATAATAATTTTTAACATTTTTTTTATTGAAAATCATTCGAATGGCATATCCCTTATTAGTATTACTTTTTGTTTTGCCAACTTGCTGGGATTAATGTCAAATTCGATTCCAATATTCCACAGTTAAAAGTGAGAAATTATGCTCCAATGTAGCTTCCCTATCAAGTTTAACAGGAAGGTAGAATGTATATGTTATTGTCATGATCAGCAGCTGATGTCTACACTTTTGTCTAATAGACTGCATTATTTAAGAGACTTTGGCGTCAACCATTAAAACAACCCTCCTTGCCAACTTTTTCCCCTTTTTATTTTGCTGGTATTAGTGCGCCTTTTATTCCCTTTAGTTTTGAGTAGATATCCTTTATTCATTGCCATTTTTTAAAAAACAAGTTAAAGCTAATAACAATATAATCATATTTTATTAATAATGGTAATTCTAAAAAAAATTTAAAATTAAAATTAAGATAATTAAATATATTAAAAATAATAAGTCATAAATTAGTATATAATTTTAAGTTTATATTTAATGTGTTGTCAATATATAAATATTTTTTGAAGAAAAGTTGAAAGATCAATTTTGCTTCAATAAAGGCATTAATCTTTTTTTAAAAAAATAAAATAAGAAAAGAAATATTAAAAAAAAGTTAAAGTCTTAATTTGTTCTTGAAATTTTTTTAATTTTAAATAATTCAACGATGGAGCCCCTACAAGAGAAACAATAGTTTTTTTTGTATACTCTTAAGGTAAGAGAATTTTCTTAATTTTTTAACCAAAAGTATTAGAGTCAATTAAGAATAATTTTTAATAATTAATTATCAGGTAAGATTTTTAAAGCTTAATAGATAACACAAAATCAAGCCGATACCATCATTTGATGGGCGTTGTGGGGGTGCTATGATCTTTCTCACATGTAACCATACTCTCGGACCTAGTTTTAGTTTTGTAGGCATCAAATCTACTTTTTAAATATACCTGAATCAAATTTAATTTTTTTTTTAAAATAGGACAAATTCAGTTAGGTGACCAATTACACATAAATAAAAAAGATTGATGGCGACTCCTTAAGTCAATGTCTAACGATTGATGGATGGCGACTCCTTAAGTTAATGTCTAACGATTGATTCATAAACCTAAATGTTATGACAGTTGGCAACTCCACTGGGGATATATTGAGAGTCAGGCCAGCAAATAAATTTGTGTTATCCAAAAGCCTAATAAAATTGATTTTTTTAAGATTTTTATTTATTTATTTATTTATTTTGTTTATTATGTCATTCATATGCATTTGCATAACATAAGCTCTTTACTCGAAGTCTGTCCCTCTAAGAGGGAGTAAAGTACCTATGCTTTCGTGAGATTTTAATACTTCCATAATGTTTAGCGAAATACTCCCACTCAAATTAAATATTTTTTGCTTGTAGTCTGTAATGATTGAGAATTGGGGTGTCTCACTAGTCTGTGATAGACAAGAATGCGAGGAACAATTTGAGAACCTTTAGACTATCAACCTTAAATCACATATAGTGACTACAAGGAACCTAACCTGTAGCTAGAGCTTTACCTTTCCCTTTGTAAAAAAATCCAACAGTTAAGTTACATTTTTGCAATGATTAATTTTTTTTGCATGGGAATTATTTTTTTTGTACATGTTATGTTGCATGAATTGTCATTTTGAAGTGTATAATAAAATGTATGTTTGTTGAATTTCTTTTTTCATACGTTTTTCTTTTGTTTAGAGCAAGATAACATTAGGCTGTATATATTTTTGCCTCCATTTTACATGTGTGGACTTGAAATCTTGGTGGTTGCATATTAACATGATTTCATAATCTTTTTTTCATGGCATAAGCATGTAGTAATGCAAGCATCTTCATTTATGGTAATCAAAGGTTCAAGGATAGCTTAACCGTCGAAAACTCCTATTTAACATACCCATCATCTATACAATACTCAATCATAGACAAGGCAAATGGAACAAGAACAAAATAATCATATGGATAGGATCAAGAAAACTCAAGAAAATTTAAAAAAGGAGTTGGCAAAGGTGGTGGAGATGATAAAGATATTAGATAAAGACAAGACAATAGAAGAAACCCTTAATTTAAATGAGAAATAAGATATTGTGAATCCTCTACACCCTTATGAGTTTAGCCCAAATCAAGGCCAATCTCTTCAAAACACACAAACCCTACAAATGCCATTTTCTAAGGTATATGCTTACACATATCATGCAGTACTATCTCATAGCTACACTAACCCTATTTTTAGGGCAAAGGTATATGATTCAATTGAAGTTTTTGATTTTGATGATCTTAAAGAGAAAGAGAGATTGAAGATGAAACCTTTTAAGGTGATGAAAGATTCAAGCACGCAACAAATAAACCTTTTAAAAGAAAAAGTGTAAGCTATCAAAGGAATAGATTATTTTGGCTCTATAAATGCAACCAAACTCTATTTAGTCCTAAATGTGATTATTCCACTAAAATTTAAAGTCCCTTGGTTTAAAAAATATAATAGGACAAAATGCCTGGTAACTCGTGTCACCATATATTGTCATAAAGTGGTTGTACATGCTCATGAGGAGAAATTACTTATGCATATGTTTCAAAATAATCTTACTGGCTCAACTACGAGATGGTATGTCTAGTTAAACCAAGCTCGTATCTATTCCTAAAATGATTTGATAAAGGCATTCATCACCCAATATCAACACATTATAAACTTAGATTCAGATCATCTATATTTACAAAGTATGAAAAAGAAACATTCTAAAAGCTTCAAGAAATATGCACAAAGATGGAAAAATGTTGCTGTTCAAGTTCAACCATTTCTCATTGAAAAGAAAACAATAGTTTTATTTATGAGTACTTTGAAGGCTTTATATTATGAGAAAATGATTAAAAATACCATTAAAAATTTTATCGATATGGTGATCTTTGGAGAAATAATAGAAAATGCCATTAAGAGTGACAAGCTTTTATCGATATGGTGATCTTTGGAGAAACAATAGAAAATGCCATTAAGAGTGACAAGCTTAAAAAAGGAGAGACCTTTAATACAAAGAAGGGTGGAATGTCCAAAAGAAAAGAAAGTGAAACTCAAGTAGTGAATTTTTAAAGATAGCAATTCAAAAATTATGTCATATATTCACAACCAATATATCCTACCTATTATTCAACTATTAATCATGTTACACTAGTTTTTTACCATCTTATTTCATAACTAGCTTATTGACCAATTTTTTAAACACCTACATATGGGCCTAGTCCTATTACCACACTGGCTTCGATGCCTAAAAACCAAGTGAGTGGTTTAATGAGATCTCAAAATTATCAAAAAAAAAGCCTACATTGATCCTATCCTCATGACTCAGACTAAGTTATTTTCAAAATTGATCAAAAATGACTTAGTATCTCCAGTCATTTTAAAATCATTGAAGCCACCCTATCCCAAATGATATGATGCTAATGTCACATGCAATTACCATAATGGGAATGTGGGTCATTCTATGAAAACTTGTCCTGCTTTCAAGCACAAGATGCAAAGTTTGATTCGAAAAGGCATGATAAGCTTTAATAAATTAAAAGGACCGAATGTCAATGAAAACCCTTTACCTGATGACACCAAAGCATAATTTTGGAAAGAACGAGGATGTTAAAATTGGTTGAAAGTTGTTTGTCATTATAGGATTTCTTTTACATTAATGCTAAATTCTTTTATGTAATAAGATTTTATTTTTTATCATTTTAATAAAAAGCAAGTTGATGCATTTTATTATATTTTCTCTTTCATCCAAATTATTATTTTTTGTTATTTTCTAAATCATTTTATTCCCATTCTTAAATTTCAAGTGATGAATGTTTGGATAATGATATAATAATTTTAGGATTTAATTTTAGAAACTCATTCATATTGATCTATATAAATTATTTGAGCAAAAGAAGCAATCTGAGTATATATCATTCATAAAAAAATGGACATGTGTTGGAGACATTTATCAGTTTGTCTTTGTTTAAAACATGGTCTTCAAACAAAGCATCCACATTTGAGATGAAAAATGATCTTCTTTCTTTTATCATTCATAAAAATAAAATCATCTATTGCTACCCTTTTTGGGTCTATTATGATTTTTTTTTAAAGAACTTCAATCAAGGATCACCCTTTACACCAGGGGTAAATTTTGGGGAAATACCAACTTGAAAAAAAGAAAATATAAAAGGTCTCAAAGATAGAAAGTGAAAAGAAAGAAGAACTTTCTATACAAAAAAAATAAAAAAAGAAAAACGAATGCCACGCATGACCTAAGGCAAAATAATGAGAATTATTTTACGAGGAATAAGAAAAAAAATATGAAAATGATGCAGAATGGGACAAAGTGCCAAGTTGCATTATGTGATGAAAAATGATCCTTTGGTTTAAATTGTTTAAACATACATTCTGAGCCTAATTTATCTAATTTTTTCATGACCCCTTACCATAGCCTACATTACCCCCTTAAAAGTTCATTTTGAACAAATGTGAATGTTTGAGTTGAATGATTATATATTGAGCTAAGGTATACTTATAATGAAACTATGGAATTGTGATATGTTCTCGTGTTTTAGAGATTGATGTGTGAGGGATACTAATAATAGATGATGTGAAAAAATGAAAAAGTAAAAAAATGAAAAGAATGAAAAAATGAAAAAATGAGAAATGTGAAAAAATAAAAAAAAAGAGAAAAAGAAGAATCAAATTGAAAACCCGAAAAGACGGTTTGAGAAAAAAAAACATCGAGCTAAAAATTGAATGGGCAGTCAAATATATAGAAGATCAATGACATCTGAAGATCCCTTATAACTGGAGCAAAGTTTGATGAGTTCAAAATAATTTTGAAAATCAATGGAATGAGTTCTTAAAAAAGAATCCTAGATTAATATTAAAAATTATCTCAATATTCATTGCTTAGACATTGTTATACCATTCAAGTACTTATCCTAATTATATGCTTTAAATTTGTTCCTTTGCCTACTTGTTTTTATGCTAGGCTTATTCTCATATTGATTATCTTTTCTCTCAAATTACCTTATCGTCTTTCAATTTTTTGCATTCTCAAAATAAATCAAGAAAATATACGATTGCATTGTATTTGTTATGAATTGAAATGACAATGAACGAATGATAATGTCCATTAAAGATTCATGCATTCTTTTGAAAAGAAATTTAGGATGATAAGGGCAAAAAATATAAAAAAGGCAAATGTGGTATCCAAGTGATGAATATGGTGATGGATCAACCAATATAATATATGAGTTGTGATCAAATGCTAGAAATAACTTGAAACAGTAGACGAAATTGGTGAATTGATCTTGAAATTATTAGTGCTGGGAAGTTAAAAGGGAAATGTGAAATGGTGGATTGAAAACCTTATTACCACAATCAATTAGAATTTCATGGTATTGATTTTAGTGATATTTGCATTACATTGTTGTTTGAATAATACATGTACATAATTCGATGAATATTTGAATATTTGTTTTGATAATTACATTTGCATCATGGTTTGGTCATGTATTTGCATTGTAGTAAATGTTTGAATCAGAGTCTAGAGTATGGCATCTGCATTATTGTGAGAATTCAGATTGTTGCTTTTGCATCTTTGAGAAAGCAGTTGCATCATTATCATACAAAATTTTGACTTTGGTAGGAGAATTTTGAACTTTTGAAACCTCAAATAAGGAAAATTTTTCATGATAAGATTTTTCTTAGGAAAACATTCCAAATTTTAAAGTTGCAAAACTTTTTAAAGGAACATTTTCAACGTTGAGGATGATTTGTAAAACCTCTAAGCATAATCTTTAATAATTTTCAAATGAAAATCTTTAAGTTTTAAATAAGAATCTTGATTTTTTTTTTGTGTGAATTCCTAAAGTTTTTGAATGAGGACCTTTGAAATATTAGATGTGAAACGCTAAAGTTTTAAAATGAGAATCTTTGAAAATTTGGTTGCGAATCCCTAGAAGTTTTTCAAATGTAAATCTTTAAATTTTGTGAATCTTCAAATCTTGTGAACTAAAAGATCTCAAATTCTTCCGAATCTAAAAATCTTACGAATCTTCAATTTTTGCAAATCTAAAATTTTTTATGAATCTTTAATTTTTACAAATATCTAATTCTTGCGAATCTTAAAATCTTGCAAACCTCCAATTTTTGCGAATCTAAAATTTTTACAAATTTTTAATTCTTATGAATCTGAAAATCTTGTGAATCTTTAATTTTTATGAATCTTCAATTCTTGTGAATCTGAAAATCTTGTAAACCTCTAATTCTTGTGAATCTAAAAATCTTGTGAATATCCAATTATTACGAGTCTAAAATTTTACGAATCTATAATTTTTGTGAATTTATAATTCTTGCGAATATGAAAATCTTGCGAATCTTCAATATTTGTGAATCTTCAATATTTGTGAATTTTAATTTTTGTGAATCTGAAAATTCTTGTGAAGCTAAAAATTTCACAAACCTGAAATTCTTTTGAATATCCAATTTTTATGAATCTTCATCTATTGAGAATTTGTGTTCCTGCGAATCTTTGAATCTTGCGAATATTTGAATTGTGAACATTTGAATTTCAAATTTGTGATTTTTTTGAGCTCAAATTGTGAATCTTTGAGTTTCAACTTATATTGTGAATTTTTTATTATGAAAATTTTAAATGCTTCGAATAGTGAACCTTTGAAATTTTGAAAGTTTTGTAATTTTTGTGAAGTCAAACTTGGACATTTTGCGTGTCTACGTCTTTGCACAATTTCTATTTCACAAAAATTATGCAAAGAAAGGTAACTGTAGATACTCTATTTTATCTGGGATTATTTGGACTGTTCTCGAGCCTCAAGTTAGTTTGAATTGGGCTTTGAACTCAACCTATTTGGATTTAAATTTAGAATTTAAGTTTTAAGCCTAGATTATATTTTGGACCATATGGTATTTTGCAAGAAAATAAATAAAAAAAATTAAAAAAGGATAAATTAAGTGATAAACTTTTGTGTTTGAAATTTGGAGTATCGAATTAAATGTTTGAAACTCTAATACTTTTTTTTAAACTCAAAATTCAAATTATAGGGAATAGGTTGCTTAATTTTTTTGAATTAAAATCCTATTTTCATCATGTTATTTAAACCTTGGTTCAAGAGTGAAAAACACAGAGCGAAAAACACACAAAGTGAAAAATACAGAGCAAAACCAAACAACTATTGGCAGCTCCACCTCATTTTTATTCTTTTTTCTACCAAACTGCCTAATCCTACCACTATTGAAATTTACATGACCAGTAGCCCAAACACCCACTATCAAAAATCAATTATCCACGAAGTACGTAAAACCCAAAATACCCAAAACTCAATAGACAACATACCATCAACATAAAATCAGTCATAATAAGTAGCAAAAAAGGTAGTGGTGGTTGTGACTTACGTTGATAGAACGACAGTGATCAAACAATACAATTTTAGGGTTTCAGGTATAGTATTCTGTTATGACTTAAGTCTGCAAAATGGGGGTGATCAAAGAGTATGGTATTAGGTACAGGATTTTATTGTGACTCACATCGACAAAACGACGACAATCAAAGGGCAGGGTTTCAAGTGTAGGATTCTATTGTGACTCACATCGACAGAACAACAACGATCAAAGAGTAAGGTTTGATCATAGGGCTTTAGGTGTAGGATTCTTGACTAGAATTTTGAGGCTGGAAAAGAACAAGTAAGAAACAAAAATAAGGATGATGGTGGTGACTTGTGACATCAACGAGGTCGATGATGCACCAAAATTTGAAAAAAAAAAAACCATCAATCTTCTTAAGCATTTTGGATTACCAAAAAAAAGCCACTGAGCCTATTTCACTCTTGTAGCGAAATCTTTCTTAATCAAGCTGAGCTGAGACTTGTTTGGTATTTTTTGTGCTATTTTTTTTATTTACTTAATTATTTTTTGATAAATCTTTGTTCTAAACAATAAAAATAAAAATAATTTCAAATTTTCAAAAAAAAATTTTGAGAAAAAGTTGAAGTATCAATTTTTCTTAAATAACTTCAATAATAAAAAAGGAGTTTTAAGGAAAAGTTGAAAGTAATAATTTTTCTTAAAAAATAAAATTTTAAACAAAAATGTATTTCATCAAAAATATTTTTTTGAGGAAAAGTTAAAAGTATCAATTTTTCTTGAAAATAAAAACTTCAAAAAATATTTTTTTGAAAAAAAAAAATTGAAAGTATCAACTTTCTTTGAAAATAAAATTTTCAAAAAATATTTTTTTAAAAAAAATTAAAAATATCAATTTTCCTTTAATAAAGATATTAATCCTTTTTAAAAAAATAAAATAAGAAAAGAAATATCAGGAAAAAGTTGAAGTATTAATTTTTTTCTTGAAATTTTTTTAATTTAAATAATCCGACAACGGAGCCCTTATAAGATAAATAGTAGTTTTCTTATATACTTTTGAAGTGAGGAAATTTTCTTAATTTTTTACTAAAAGTATTGAGTCAATTAAGAATAATTTTCAATAATTAACTATCTGGTAAGATTTTTAAGGCTCAATAGATAACACAAAATTAAGTTGGTATCATCTTTTGATGGCCGTTGTAGGGATTTTATAATTTTTCTCACATATAATCGTACTCCTGAACTTAATTCTGATTTTGCAGACATTAAATCTACCTTTTAAAAATACCTAAGTCAAACTTATGATTTTTTTTTAAAATATGACAGATTCAATTAAGTGACTAATTGTACATAAATAAAAAAGATTGATAATGACTTTTTAAATAAATATTTAGTAATAGATTCACAGACCTAGATGTTATGACAGTTAATAACATGCACAACACAAATTAGTGACAGATTTACAAATGTCATGCTCAATTCTGCCATATGTATTGTCTAGGAGCGAATTCATACTCACATAGAAATTATCTGAGCTCCGGACAGCAAAAAAGATTAATTGGCCAAGAAACATATTTTTGTTGAATGTCATGGCCTTGTCTTTGTTACGAAGACGATTAAATATTTATAACATCTAACACTGACATGAACCCCGTACATGCTACTTATCAAGAAATATGTGTAAAATTTTCAGAATCACAATCAATTGTGGCAATGCTTATGGTTTATGTACTATTTACGTTGAACCTGTAATTGATATTCTTTAAAAGGGGTGCTATCACTATATCATAGATTTTTTTTTTCCTGTTGCATTTTGGAAAGCACTTGGCAAGACGATCTGGAACAAGGAATAATATGCAGTGATTAGTGAAAGCTATAGTGTCAACTTCACAGCCCAATTTCATTTCATTGTTGCAGTAAAATTCGATAAAATTTCCATATAGATAGAAATCAGGAGGCTCATCATTTAAATTCAGAACAGGACACTGGTAAAAACAAAAAAAAGAAAGCTGAATTTTTTGGTGGAAATAAATATTGATTGACTACAGAAATTGTCTGGGGAGATTGTCTACCACAAAGTAATAGCAGGATTTAACTCCCATTTCTACATGATAGAACCATGCTTGCCTCCAATAAGGATTAATGTACAGTACAACTGCGATGGACAATATTACTATTATGTAAGATACGATGAAACTAACATAAAAGACAACCATGTCAATTGAACCATCCTCTACATTATTGCCAGTAGAACCCTTTGGTGTCAATGGTGGTTCGATTGGTGAGCAGTTCTTTTGCACTAGTGTTCCACATAGAAAAGGATTTCCCAGATAGCTGCTTTCATCAAATGCTCCCAATTGCCCAATTCTTTCAGGTGTCTTTCCAGATAAGTTGTTGTATGACACGTTGAAATATGACAAGAAATGTAACACCGCAAATTCAGGAGGGATGTTCCCACTCAAATTGTTCTAAGAAAGATCCAGACTTTCTATTTGCATGAGGTTAGCCAATGTTGGTGGGATTGGTCCTGTCAAACTATTGTGAGATAAGCTTAACACTAGTATATTGCTGAAGTTTCCAAAACCATAAGGAATCTCACCAACCAGATTGTTGAAAGAGAGATCGATCCCACACAAGTATGGTAGAATTTTCCCCTTATAAGAGTAGGATACATTCTTTGTTGTGAATTCTATTGGTTCCTCAAATGAGAACGAGCTGGGACCAGCAGCAATAAGAACATGAACGTAATCTTCTGATACATCCTTGAGTGCAGTAATTTTGAGGCAAGGGGGAATAGGACCAGAAAGATTGTTATGAGAAAGATTGATCAAACTTAATTGACTCAAGTTGCATAGCTCGATTGGGATCCGCCCTTCAAATTTGTTGTTATTCAAGAGAAGATAACTCAAGTTTGAAAGTCTGCCAACCCAACTTGGAATGCTACCAGTTAAGAAGTTATCGCTGGCGTCCAATGCAACCAAGGTAGAGCTGTTACCAAGTGAATCTGGTAAGGATCCTCGTAACCTATTTTTGGACAAATGAACTTGCCTTATCCGTGATGGGCTAAAACAAGATGGTAGTCTCCCAGAAATATTATTAACTGAGAGGTCTACAAGTTTAAGATCAATATGACAGAACTCCACAGGGATTATGCCTTCAAGATGATTATTGGACATGATAATTTTCGTCAAAATAGACATATTTCCCATCCATCTTGGGATCGTACCAGAAAGTTGGTTGTTGCTGACATCCAATGCATACAACAAGGAGCTGTTAGACAAGAAATCTGGGATCCTTCCAGAGAAGTTATTTCCATCCAATTGCAACTCCATCAAGTTTGTTAAACTAAAATTTGGTGTGAAAATTTTGCCTTGCAGTTTGTTGTTTGATAATGCAAGAAATTCTAATAAGGAGCAACCCACGGCCAATTGCTCAGGTATCCCCCCAGACAACTGATTGTTGGATAAGTCCAAAGAGTCCAGTGAACTCATATCACCAAAAGAAGAGGGAATGCTACCGTCAAAATGATTTTTTTGACATGTTCAGAAATCTCAACGATGGTAGTTGCGCTCCAATTTCTACTGGAATGCTGCCATTGAAGAAATTGTTGGAGATATCTAAATATGATAAACCCAAATATGAAGGGAGTGGTAGCTGAAAAGGTCCCGATAGAGAGCTATTGGCGAGGAATAGCCTAGCTAGTTTTGTGTTGTTTTTCAACAACCAATTTGGGAACTGATCTCCCTTGAAATAGACGTTAGAGAGATCAACAATCTGTAACTCTTGCTGATGATAGAGGAATTGAGGAAATGATCCGCCATTTCGACAAGAAGCCATGCGAATCTCTTTCAGTTGGAATGTTGGGGGCAAACAATGCATCTCGGTTTCAGCATATATGGTATTGTTGTCCGCATAGAAGTACTTGAGCTTCGAAAGGTTGAAGAAGGGTCCTAATGAGCTTGGGATCTCAAAGTAATTGTTTGCGATATCCAACATTTGGAGGGATGTTAGACTATCAAAGGCAGATATATTTCCAAAAAATTGATTGGAAGATAAATCTAAACTTTTCAGGGATGTTAGATTCTTGAAGGCATATATATTTCCAGAAATTTGATTAGAAGAGAGAAATAAACTTTCAAGGGATGTTAGACTATCTAGGGCAGATATATTTCCATAAAACTGATTGTAAGATAGATCTAATCTTTCAAGAGATGTGAGATTGGAGAAGCACTCGGGCAAATAACCCTTTAGATTATTGTTGCTGATGTCCAACTCTTGGAGATTTGTTAGACTATCTAGGGCAGATATATTTCCATAAAACTGATTGTAAGATAGATCTAATCTTTCAAGAGATGTGAGATTGGAGAAGCACTCGGGCAAATAACCCTTTAGATTATTGTTGCTGATGTCCAACTCTTGGAGATTTGTCAATTCACAGAATCCTGCAAAGGTAGTATTATATATTAAATAAATAAAAGGGTGTCATGCATTGGAAAAAAAACAAAAAAACAGACAAGCAACTACTCTTTTCATTCCTTGCATATTATCATTTAGTGACTTTCAACAAAATTTTGAGAGATCAAGAGGCAAAGGGATAATATATATAGGAAAGTTGTGTGGTAGTTAAGTTGTTTGGTGTTTGTTTAGTACTTGTAGGTGTTATTACTTTTTAAGTAATTATGATAAAGGGTAATATAAGAAAAACATTTGCAGCATAAAATTTTGTTTGGGAGAATTTTCAAATGCAAAAGCGACAACAACAGTATGGGATGGATGGACTTAAAATAAAGGTAAGATAACTTTGAAACAAACAGAAAACAGAAAGCAAGAGACGATATATATAAATCTCAACCTTGGGTATGTAAGGTGCCGTTGAGTCCACGATGCTGTAAATATAGAAACTTAAGAGAAGGCATTGCTCCAATTTTTTGAAGAAAATTGTTTTCCAGGGAAGTGTAGAATATGTCCAAGAATTCCAAATTCTTCAAATTTTTCAAAAAATAATCAATAATAAAAAAATATAGAAACGAATGAAGATATATGTCAAATGAAAAACGATGATAATATCATAATATGTATGCAATTTATAATGTACATATATGAAACAAATAAAATTAATGTTTTAGTATGAGAGGAAACTGAAAGATCCAAATTACCTTGAGGAGGAGTTAGGCTTCCACTATCATTGATCTCACAAAAATACAATCGCAAACGCTTTAGGGAAGTAAGTTCTCCAAAGTTTCGCAGAAAGTTGGTTTGGAGAAAAGAATCTTGCAAGATCAACTCTTCCAAGTTTCTAAAATTATGCAATTCTATTCAAGAAAAACATTAATGAATCTCTTTTAAAAAAAATTAATGAATCTATATATATGTGACGGCAGGAAGACAAAATTGCTAAAAGAAACAATATATTATAGGAGCAAAGCATATGCCGCACATACTTTGGGTAGTCATTGTTCCGTTAAAACCAAATCCTGCCAAAAATAGAGTCTTCAAAGACGGTAGGAACACGCCCGGTGATTTTGATAAAAGGCTACAAGCCTTATTTCTTAAACCTGTAAATAAACCAATACAATAAACACAAATCCTCAAAGTGGTAATTTTTTTATACTTGAACCGTCAAAAATCGAATTTTGAAAAAAATTGAGCACTTTTCAAATAGATCACACTATTATATTGTTTTAGAATTGGAACTGGAATTTCAGTATTCCACTAATAAATCACACTTATATTTTTGAAATTTAACTTAAGAAATAAAACATTTAAATCTTCATACCCACATATATATTGTATATGTAAATACATATACAAAAAGAATATATTTCTCCACCTTTATAAAGAAAAATTAAACTCGAAAACTCGTATATGCACATTTTCAGTAGAAAACTGGCAAAGTTAAATCAAGGCTTGAAGAAAATGCAATTGTCTAATCTCATACATAAAACATAAAAGTAACAAGAAAAAGGGCATAAACCTTGTATTTGTATAGATCTAGTATTTTTTTTTTTTTGAACACCTAAAATTCCATTAACAATAAAAGATAGCTCCGTACAATGTCTTTCAACTGAGATATAATGAATATTAATGAATCATTGAAATATATAAGAGATTGCCTATATTGAAGAAAGGGCAAATTTTTCCATCAGTTTGAATTTTCATTTTTTAATGTGTTTAGAAATATATTAACATGAACAAATTGATTAAAACACAATTTTGTTTTAGCAATACTACATACCTTCGGTGGGTCTGCAGTTTATAAACAGTTCCTTCAAGTTACTCAAAGCATTTAAAACTGAGGAAAATCACAAATTAAAATATAATTAAATTAAAATAAAATACAATATTCTGGGCATTAAACTTTAAAAACATATTGCTATATATATATATATATATATATATATATAATAAGAAATAATTCTGTAACTTTAGAGAGATGGGGGTTAATTTTACCTGTAAGATCTATTGATCCTTCCAAATTGTTGTCTTCTAAAAGCAAAGACTTTAGATTTGAAAGCCTACCAAGGGATGATAATATGCTATTGTTGAAGAGATTCTCACTCAAGTCAAGTACTTCCAGGTTTATTAACCTTAGTTCTGTTTCATTGTCTGTAAAAGATTTACATAAATTACTATTATTTTTTATTTTCGTTGTCCAAAATAAATTTTCTTAATTCTAACATCACAAAAATTTTGGATTTGCTTAAAAGAAATTATCTACTCAAGATAGATTAGTTCATGAACACGTAAATTATATTTTGGTTTAATCTTTTTCTATTTTTAGCCAATGTTTTCTGAATCAAATTACAAGTTTAACCGATAATAGCTTCGAATTTAGTCGACCGGTTCAATTGGAAGGGAATGTTAGTATCAAATGCATGATTTTGATATTAAATGAGTAGTAAATATATTTATATTTATCCTTAAAATAAATATGCATTTGGCTTAATAATAAAAAAAAAAGTAAGAGGTTAAATATTTAAATTTTGTCAATTGCAAATATTTTTTAAAAATTAGTATTGAAATTGACTTAATTAACAGTTTGAACCGCTTTAACTGATTTGGCAAAGTGTTCAATCGATTTTTGTCCCATTCAATAAGTTTTCAATTTATTTGTTTTTATTGAACAAGCCACCATTTCTCGATTGAATTCATATTTTAGTATTAATTTTTGCATGTGTTGCGACTTGGATAAAGTAATATGGTGATTTATTCCACTTGGCTACCAATTTCAAGTCGCACAACAGTTAGGTGTTAGGGAAAAGACTAAAATTGATACAAATACTTGAGATCCTTCGCCAAAGAAGTCTTAATAAAAATGATATAAATTAGATATGTTGAATTTATCTAATTATGTTTTGATTTTTTAATTTAATTACTTAATGATTTTTTATATATTAATATAATACTTAATTGTGATATTGTAAATTTTCTTGTCTCTGTAATTGTATTAAAAAAAGACATTTTTAGTTTTTTTTATCCAGATAATTAGAAATTAGTGTAAAAATAATAAAAACAAAAAAAAAAATCTATTAATGGTGTCTATAAACAGACACGGTTTAAAAATAGTTAAAATACTATTTTTACTAAATTTAAAGAAAAAAATAATGCATTAATTTCATTTTTCTTTCTATATATCATTTTAACTAGTGTCTTAACATTTAAAAAAAAAAAACTGTCTTAAGTACCTTTGGATGTAATAAAGTCGTTCACTTCGTTATTCCCCATGTACAGCTCCTCTAAATTGCTCAAACCATTTAATTCTGAAGAGAGAATTAAAATAAAGTAACAAATCATAGAATTAAACTTAAAATTATATTTTTGTGGAACGTATTTACCTTTAATATATATCGGCCCTTTCAATCGGTTACTTTTCATAAACAAAGATTTCAAATTTGAGAATGCAATAAGGGATGAGAATATGCTGTTGTTGAAGAGATTATCACTTAAATCAAGCACCTCAAGTTTGATCAACCTCAATTGGTCTTTCTGCCCAAAAATAGCTTAAGACTTCAAATCTGTATATATTTGATGAAGAAATATATGTGAACTTACATTTTAAAATAAAGATTCGAAGCTCTGAATCTCATTTCCGCCTAAATATAACTCCTTTAGGTTGATCAAGTTATTAAATTCTGTTCAAATCCAATAAAATATATCAGTCCAAAAGTACCAATTCTAAGCTTTCTCAAATTAAGCATGAGATTTTGAAGAGAAATTGAAACAAATCTAGCTTGCATATCAACAGTTCCTTCTAGTCCACAATTCTACAAATGTAAAGATTTTAAAGATGTAAAATCATCTAGATATGATAGGATGTTGTTTCCTAATTTGTTTTGATGTAAATTCAGAATCTCCAAATTGTTCAGCTTTGATAATCTCTTAATACCTGCTCCCAATAATATTAAAAAAATAAATTTAATAGTCTCAGTATAAATATATCAGCTGCAAAATTTATTCACTTCAACCTAATTCATATATAACAAAACTATAGGAAGTAACATGATATACATTAAGTTTACCGTTGGTAGGATTTGACCCTGTAAATCTGTTGCTTGCTAGATTTAAAGATTTGAGTGATGAAAGTTCACTTAAGGATGATAAAATGCTATCATTAAAATGATTCAAACTTAAGTCGAGGATCTCCAGTTTGCTCAATTTCGATGACAACCTATCAAAACCTACAAAAAAATGTTTTTTTTAATATAGGCGCAGTTAGTGGCTTTCCAAAAGAAATATATAGAAAATGCAAAAAATGAATTGATGTTGCAGTTTGTAATTAGGTGAAAGCAAATGAACCTTCGTTATAAACACAACCAGCGATGGAATTTTCACTTAAATAAAGACTGTTTAATTCCTCAAAAGGAAGAAACAAAGAGGCGTTTAGATACCAATCATGGCTCCCAGTAACATCGTAATAACCATAAGATAAATCATGCCAGACTTCTTCTGTGAATGTATGATTAAGGAAAAGTCGCATCACTCGTCCAGTGGAATTGTTGCACTCAACCCTATCCCATTCACAACAATTAGAACTCTGTGTTTCCACCCCCCAAATTTGACCAAAGAAAGGGTTAAGTTGCAAGAGAGCAGTTTTTTCTTGCTCCCAGCACCCATCACACCACCCTCCTAAAAAGAACGCTATCAGAACAACCATCCACAACCGTTTCGACTCCATCCCAATTAATCCACATGCTCTGATCAGATCACTTAATATAACTCTGCCTCTATGCATTTGGCAGCGCTGCACCCTTGGGCTTTATATACTACTAGTAATACTGCAAGAAAAGGAAGCAACCGTCGTGTTTCCAAGAAATTCAATTAATAATTAAGGCCCCACACACTCAGGGTTAGATCATATAATAATTTTTAACATTTTTTTTATTGAAAATCACTCGAATGGCATATCCCTTATTAGTATTATTTTTTGTTTTGCCAACTTGCTGGGATTAATGTCAAATTCGATGCCAATATTCCACAGCCAAAAGTGAGAAATTATGCTCCAATGTAGCTTCCCTATCAAGTTTCGCAGGAAGGTGGGAATGTATACGTTATTGTCATGATCAGCAGCTGATGTCTACACTTTCGTCTAATAGACTGCATTATTTAAGAGACTTTGGCGTCAACCATTAAAACAACCCTCCTTACTAACTTTTTCCCCTTTTTATTTTGCTGGTATTAGTGCGCCTTTTATTCCCTTTAGTTTCGAATAGATATCCTTTACTCATTGCTATTTTTTCAAAAACAAGTTAAAGCTAATAATAATATAATCATATTTTATTCATAATGGTAATTCTAAAAATAAATTAAAATTAAAATTAAGATAATTAAATATATTAAAAATAATAAGTCATAAATTAGTATATAATTTTAAGTTTATATTTAATGTGCTGTTAATATATAAATATTATACACTGTCAGTACATCACAAATTGATGCATCATTGATTAACAAATTTAAAATTTTAGAATCTTTAAAAATAAATATTTTTAATTTTTAAATATTTAATTATTCAAAACAAATTAATGAAGTAGTAACTTTTGATACACTGATAGTATATAATATTTATATACTAATAATATATCAAATATAAATTCATAATTTTTATCCTAAACATACTTTTGTAAATGTAATTGATATACTATTCATTTTTAAAATTTTTATATTATTTTACTATATAATTTACAAATATTATTCTTCATAATACAAAATATATATATATATTTAAAAGCAAACAAAACATAAATGACAAAAGTATTAATCAAAAGAAGTTTAAATAATTAAAATATAATAAATTAGATTGTGACTAGTATGATGCTCATGATAATTTTACCTGTTTAATATATGTGTGTGTGTATATATATATACATACAAATTAGTATTCTTTCCAAAATTATATCCAAATCTTCAAATTTTATAACATATATAAAATTCATATATCTCACTAACTTATTGTAAAAAATAAAAATTTTTAACAAAACAAAAAGAAAATGACAAGTCTTTGTTTAGCATCATCTTTATCTTTAGTAATATTTACACACCTATAAGTTTATATAAGATAAAAATAAATTACATGTGTTTCTTAAAATAACAAAAATAAATATATATTACTGAATGATGAATATGGGCATATTTTTAATTTTGTAATCTTGATCAAAATATTTTATAAAATATAAAAAATGTTATAGGAGATGTTGAAAAAAGAAAAATGAATTGACAAAAATATTGTTTTCATAAAAGCAAACTTGCAATAATAATAAAATATACTTTAAAATATTTAGCAGACTGAAAAAAATAAAAAAAAAATTGATATAACATATTACATTTATAATCTTATATTTACAAAATAACTCTTGAATGCCAATTATAATTAAATAGATAATTTTTATATTGATTTTTTTAATTTAAAAGGAACATAATAAGTGATAAAGATAAAATCAAATTTCTTACCTATATTTGAAATATAAAATTGAAAGTTAGAGTTGCAATTGACATAATCCTGGTCAATTATTTTGAGTTGGAATATGAAAAGAATATTTGAATTTTCAATACCTTATGTAAATTTTTGAAAAGATGATTTTATTTGATTTTAATCAAGAAAAAATATAGAGTGAGTTAGTGAAAGTTTTAGATAAATTTAATTTTTGCAATTTTTAAACATATTGAAAATTTTTTAAAATTAAATATTTTATAAAATAAATTTATTTAGTAAATAATTAAAATTATTCATTATGAAAATAAAATATATTTTTTTAGTTTTTAATTTAAAAAATATACTTCTAGATAAAATTAGTTTGTAATTGTAATTCGAGTAATTTTGATATTTCAAATATATATATGAGATAGCAAAACTTGACCCACCCAATGCCTTTCGTACCAATGACTGGATGGTTTTTTTTATTTCATTGGCAGTGTAGGCGATTACGGTATATGAATACAATCCACTTATAATATCATATTATTTTTAAATAACCCTTACATGAACATATTTAGAGATTTTAATATTGTTATAATCAAATATTTTTATTGAATTTGAGAAACGAAAACTTATTATGTTGGGATTGTAATTTTATTGTACTTGTTATTTAAAATTTATTCCATTTCAAATTATAATAATTATAAGCTATTGTGTAAATTACAATGTATTAATTTTTTTTAATTTTTTAATTATTGATGTCAAGTTAAAAATATGTTGCATAATTTTTTCCATTAATAATATAATAAAATAATTCTAATTAAAAAAAATAATATGAGAAATTACATCAAAGAAAACTGGAGCGAAACAAGAAATTTAACATCCACGGTAGGGATGACGCAACTTGATTATCTTTTAGCTTTTGCATTAATTATTAGAAAAACTTTGTCTTTGGCTTTGCATTTGCACTGATCTTAATATTTAAATTATTATTATTGTTAACATTGGTTTTCATAAATATGAACAAATGTCATGAAATTATTTTATTATTATTGTTAATTAGTTTTTTTTTTTTTTTGGCCAAGGCTTTATAACAGTAGTAGTTTTTTTTGGACCTCCAGGCTTGATAATAGTTTAAGTTGGAAAAATTTTTTGTACATGAAACAATTATATAATTTCTCATTTCATTTTTTTTAATATAAAAATTTTGGTATGGTAATAATAAAATAGAAACAAAGAGTTATCTCTTTTAAGATATTTGCCATGTTTTGTGGTTGTGCTTGCTAAGTGGTTTATGCTTTATGGTCTATCAAGAGACCTTTGACTTGGCGTCAACTGAGACAAAACATTTTTAAATGAGCAAATTCTACTTTCGTCATCGATCTTACCATGCAATTGCCTGTGGATGCAATAAATTTTTATTTATTGGTGGAAAGTATACAACACCATAAAAATCCATATAATTTCTTTCCAAATAAGTTTTGAAGGTTTGAATTTGAGCTGTTATCGATAATATAGTGAATCAAAGTTAGAATATAAATAGAATTATTTTTTAAAAAATTTTATAAACATTGATTAATAATAGTTAAAATATATAATATTATTTTTTTAAATCCTTTTAAAAATATCATTCTCACCAAATTAAAAGAAATGCATTAATTACATTTTTTAAAAAGAATTTAATACTTATTCGTACTACAAATATCATATAGATACTATTAATAGTGATTAACAATATTTATCACTAATTGATTAACTCAAGTGATTTTTTAATATTTAAATTTGAATTTGTTCATAAATTATAAAGAATAATTTTACATGAATTTATTAAATTAACAAAAATAAATTTGATTAAATTAATTCTAAAAAAAATATACAGAATAAAATCTAAAAATCTCATTGTGCTAAATTAAAAATATATATGTACCTTTAATAACTTACGCCCCCAATGAGTGGAGTTTGGGCTAAAATTCCATAACACTCAAAATTGCCAAATTTCGTCGCTTCCTACAAGTACACCGAGAAAAAAAAATTCCACCAATACTTGTGGAAATTAAAGTAGGCAGAAATTCTAGCGGTTAGACCTGCTGACCAATCCATATCACATCAAGATTGCGTGATGCAAGCATCCAGAGCTTGACTTCGTCCAAGCCCAAAACACACGCACACCTTCATTGTAATGAGCTTTGATTCCTTCTTAGTTTGATGGGATTTGTGCCTTTCAATAAACGTTTCAAAAACGGTATCTCGACTCTTTGAGGGAATACAGGAACCAATGCCCGCATCAAACTCGAATTATCTGAATCAAACATAAAATTAAATAAATTTGAATTAATATGAATAAAATTAAATTTTTATAATATTTAAGTTAATCAATTATTGTTGTTTAATATTTTTAATCTCTTATTAAACTTGCATTGAATTATAAATTAGATATAAAATATATATTTCAACTTTCAATAATCTTATAACAGTTATACATTTTGATTCAAATTCTTTTTTTTTAACACAAATTTCTTTATGATTTTTAATTTTTTAATATTCTGATCAGGATTGTAGATTTACGGTTCAATTAAGGTATGTAAATTATTTTTTTGAGTTAATTTTACCTTTTAACGTTATTGTTTATTTTCAATGCTTCTTTTATTTGCTTTATATTTTTTTAATTATTTTCATATACTAATTTGCTTGTGTTTTGATTAATATCACACTTTTCAAACACGAAACCAGCATTCCGTGGTTTTTTTTTTTTTTTTTTGGTTACACCAAGAAAAAATCATTGAATAAAGCAAATTGATTTTATGCAATAAATAAATAATATAGATTTCACTTAGTAAATTTTTTGTGCTATGTATTGATCTTGATTTTGTGAAGATCCTGTTTAGGTGTCATAATTGATAAGTCATTGATCCTACTATTTCTTATTTTTTTGAACAAATAAAATTTCATGATAATGATTTTTAACATGTAAGTGCTATTTTTATTATAATCTTAATGCTAAATGAAGAGTGAAGTAAATAGAGCTAAGAGTATAGATATTATTATTATCATATTAAATTTATATTTTAAAATATTGATATTTTTATCTTTTATATTAATACATTTTTTTCTTAAGCCAAAAAGTGATAATATGAATTGTACACAAAGATATTAAACCACAAAATATTATTTTATGTGAAAGTAAATGATACTAAGCTTTGCTTTGTCAATAAGGATTTTTAATTTAAGAATTTCTAGATTAATTCTTTATCATTTTGTAACTT